GACTCAACCAATAGTCTCCTTCAAGAGAGCCCTCATTAACAACACCTATTCCTTGGAATTTATATCAATTCAACCGCAATTCTCCTTTTCTGAAGTTCCTTGATTCCTAAAGTGTGCACTGTTGTTGCTGTTGTTAAGCATCAGACCAGAAATCCATGTGGAAAGATAGTCAATACCAAAAGCTAATTCACTGGTTTTTCGTGATTTCATTGTATCCCACTTAAGTGCACTTTATTCACAAGGTGAAATGTATATATATATATATTTAAAGGTATTGTGTGAGTCAGATTCTGAGTGTGTAAGGAGTGCCTCTTTCCTTGTATTTTTGTCAACCACGTTGTGATGTTTTACAACTGTACAAATAAATGATAAGGTTGGTTCTTATCCTGAGATTGAAGATATTACTTTGAATATTGTTGTTGTTGTTGTTAAGTGCCATTGAATCAGTTCCCACCCATAACAATCCTGAATAGGGTTTCCAAGGAGCAATTCATATGGCTTTGCAATCTGGTGCCTTAACCCACAGTGCCACACCAGGACTCCTATTTTCAATATACAAACTGCTAAAGAAGACTTTTGGAATCCTGGTGTGGCACTGTAGCGCAAGACCACAATAGATACAGTACTGGAGGCACTCACTCATATTTGCTAAGAAATTTGGAAGACAGCTACCAGGTCGACTGATTGCAAGAGATCCATATTTGTGCCCATTCCAAAATGAAGTGACCCAACAGAATGTGGAAATCATCAGGCAATGTCATTACTATCACATGCAAGGACATTTTGCTAAAGATAATTCAAAAGCAGCTGAAACAATACATTGACAGGGAACTGCCAGAGGTTCAAGAGAGATTCAGAACAGGAGGTGGAATGAGTGATATTGTTGACATCATATGGATCTTGACTGAAAGCAGAGAATATCAGAAAGATATTTACCTGAGCTTTTATTTACTCTGAAAAGGCTTTTGACTGTGTAGATCATTGTAAACTATGGACAATATTGTGTAGAATGAATATTCCAGAATATTAAATTGTACTCATGATAAATCTGTCCATAGACAAAAAGCCTATCATTCATACATAACAAGGAGATACTGAATGGTTTAAAATCAGGAATGTTGTGTACCAGGGTTGTATGCTTTCACCACATTTATTCAGTCTGTATGCTTCGCAAATAATCCAAGAAACTGGTATTAAGAAGAAGGTAGCACTAGGATTGGAGGAAGACTCATTAACAACCTGTGATATGCAGATGATACAACCTCGCTTGCTGAAAGTAAAGAGGATTTAAAATACTTACTGATGAAGATCAAAGGCTTTAGCCTTCAGTATTGGTTGTACCGCCAAGTAAAGAAAACAAAACTCTGCACCACTAAAGTTCTGGTGTAGCCCTGTAGGATAAGCACTGAACCATAAGGTCAGTTTTAACCGCAAGGTAAAAACCCACCAGTCACTCCTTGGAAACCCTATACAGGGTTGTTATGAATTTGAACAGACTCAGTGGCACTTAACAAGGGCAATGAATAATGTCATGATAAATGGAGAAAATATTGATGTTGTCAACGACTTTATTTTGCTTGGATCCACCATCAAGAGCCATGGAATTAGCAATCAAGAAATCAAAGGATGCATTGCATTAGGTAAATCTGCTGCACAAGACCTCTTTAAAGTGTTCATCTGTAAAGGTGTCAGTTTGAGGACTAAAGTATGCCTGACCCAAGTTATAGTATTTTCAAATGCCTCATATGCGTGTGAAAGTTGTGTAATGAATAAGGAAGATCTTGGAATTATGGTTTTAAGAATATTAAAGGTGCCATAGAATGCTATTGGAACAAACAAATCTGTGTTGGAAGATGCACAACCACAATGTTCCTTAAAAGCCAAGATGGCCAAATATTCGTCTCTCATACTTTGGACATATTATCTGGAGTGGCCAGTCTCTGGAGAAGGACATCATGCTTGGTGAAATGGAGGGTTAACAATAAAGAGGGAGACCCCCCAACAAGATGAATTGACATAACGGCAGCAGCAATGGGCTGAAGCATAGCAGCAATTGTACGGATGGTGCAGGAATGAGTTGTGGTTTGTTCTGTTGTGTGTCAGGATGCTATGGGTAAAAACTAACTCAACGGCACCTAACAATGTAGCTTAAAATTCAACAAGACCAGCAACAAGAACAACAAACAAACAAAACTGGGAATACAACAGAAATACAAAATCAGTATTACTGATCTTCAACCAAAACTCTGATCACACAGCCTCCAGAATCTGTTCTTCTGGTTTTTTTTGTCTAATCTTGTTTTGTCTCCATTTCATAAGGATGTCTTCCAAATTTCTTAGCAAATATAATTTAAGGCCTAAATGGTAATCCAGGAAAAATCTTACCATCTCAAGATCTTTAACTTCATTATGTGTACAAAGTTTTGCCATGTAAATTAAAATTCACTGGTTCAATAGATTAGAATATGATCACTTTAGAAGTCATTAGTAAGCCTTCCTAAGAGGATGCATTTGGAAAAAAAAAAAACAAAAAACAGTTGAGTTTAGAAGAAATGACTAAATGCAATCTCTAGTGAATTTGAATTATTTATAAAATTTGAATTTTTATCAAAGGAGTAATCTGATTAAAATAGTGTTTTGAAAAGATATATTTTAGTGCATCTAAATTTAGTAAGGTAAATTGGAGAGAGAAAGGCTAGAAACAGGCAAATTCTAGAAGTGGTTATATTCATCTGTGGGTAAGAGTTAAATTTGGGTGAATTATAATTGACATTGATAATTAGTTTTCCTTTTTATGACTTTTATTGTGAGTTAGGTGAAAATTCACAGATCAAATCAGTTTTCCATCCAACAATTCACACACATTTTAATCCTGTCTCCACATTATAATAGCACTTAGCCCATTGCTTCCTCGCTTTCCCCATTTCTGTTACTCCGTATTTTCTGCTCTTTCCAATCTTCTGAGCTTTGTTCCTGGGCAAGTGCTGGCCTTTTGGTCTCAAATGTTGATTATTCTATAGAGTGCATAGATTCCTAGTGTTACTTCTCATCTTATAAGTTGTCTATTGTTTGCCTGAAAATTGAGCCATAGGATGAATAGAGTTTCATGCCTGAAGGTTGAATAAAGTTATAGTCTTGGCGGCTCCAACTGTCTGTATTTGACTACTTAGCTTGGACTT